AGGATATTCCTCTGCTCACTGACTCTAAATAACACTTCTTCATTTCCCACATAATCGGTCCAACTGATCTTCTCCATCCTTCTCCAACACCACATTTCGAAGCTTTCCAGGTGTTTCTGATCTACTGCCCTAAGTGTCCAAGTTTCAGCCACCTACAAAGCAGTGCTCCAAATGTAGCATTTCACTAGTTTCTTCCTCAGATTTAAGTCCAATTTGCTGGTAAACGATTCTTCTTCTTGCTAAATGCAGCTTTTGCCATGGCGATCCTAGATTTAATTTCACAAGTACACCTTCCATCATCTGTTAACAAGCTACCCAAATATTTAAAACATTTCACATTCTCCAGTTGTTTTTGGTCTATCTCTATTGTGACTGGGGTTGGTTGTCTTGAAATTTTCATTACTTTTGTTTTTTCCACATTCATTTCCATGCCATAGCACCTTCCAATTTCAATTAGTCTATCATTCATACCCTGTAGCACAGTTTCTTCCTTAGCCGTTAACATAAGGTCATCTGCATATTTCACAGTTTGAATAATTTGCCCTCCTAATTTGAAGTCTCCAAGCCCATCCAGAGCTTCCTTGGTAAGGCATTTGCTGTACAAGTTGAACAAAATTGGTGATAAACAGCATCCTTGTCGAACTCCTCTTCTAATCTTCACACTTCTGGTCTCCCCTCTGTCCAGTTGAGCCTGGACTTATGTCTAAATTGGTCACATGTTTTGGATTTCAGTAATTGCATTTGATTTATTGCATTTATGGTTTCCACGAAGGCAACTGAAGAGTACTTCATGGATGTGATGCCATGCAGTCTGGAAGTTCATTGACATTTCATTGTAGAAGAGAGAGTTGTTTAATTTCAGAATTGTTTTTCAAATAATTCTTTCAGACCTGTAGGGCTTAATGATCTGAGAAACATTAACAGCAAGTATCCCAAATCAAAATCTATGATTGATAAAATAATAGGATGTGAAGTATGGACTGGATTGAACTGGCTTATGATAGAGTTCATTGGGAGGTGGACACAGTAATAATAAAGCTTTGGGTTCCATAAGTGGCAGCAATTTATTTTTGGTCAGTTGAGCAACTACAAGGTTCTAGAGTTCCATGGAGCTTGTCAAGTACAAACATATAACAGATTTGGTTTTAAAAATCATGTTTTTGGTAGTCTGAAATAAGCTTGAATTTCACATATCTGTTCTTAAATGTTAATCCATCTTCAAACCAGTTGTCTAAACAGCAGTAAGATTTAGACATCAGTTTCATTTATAATTAAGATTTTGTTGTTTTGTGCTTGGCAGGAAATATGCAGTAAAAGCACTGAACAGTCATTTGAATACCAAGTCTATTGAGAAAGAATGGAAACTGATTTTGATTCTACCTCTCATGTACTTAGTTTTGTCAGTTCCAAAATATATCTGAAGTCCTCTATTTGTGATTGAACTGGAACATAGAAAAGGGACATAGAAATTGAATTATGACAGATGACTAGCTGACTTGTTCATAAAGGGTATGTTATGCTATTAAATTATAGAGAGACATATATTACAATTTTATATGCTTATTGTTTCTCAGATGAGGACAGCTCTGAAGGAACAGCAAGAAGTGAATTCACAGTTGAGGTCATATATTGATGGAATTCTGCTCAATATTGTTGACAACTACCCACAGCTCTTGGAGGTGAAGACTCACTGAACATCAAGGTGTTAACAAGAGTTTCAGCAGCTTGATATGGAGATCTGCTACCAATTTGACAGTTTGGTTGTTGGTGCCAAGTACCCACTGCAGTTCTACAAATCCCTACTGGAAATTGTGGAAAATTGTCAAGAGTAGATGTGCTGGAAGGCTCTGCATGTAAAACTTGTTATAATTATTGTTCCTACAGCCATTGAGCTTTCTTATCATTATTGTCCTTCATTGTATGGGATTATTAACCATTGCCACAGTCAGAGGTAAGTGTTTGAACATTTTGAAGAGACTGGACCTTCCTGCCATGATGAGGAAACATACTGTGATGAATATTTAAAGCTCTTTATTAATTTGTACAGAAAATTGTATATTTTTTATGTAAAGTTAAAGTTTTGGTCATGTTCAGATATTTCAGAAATATGTTGACATTTGTGTTTGTGTGAAGTGAAGAGAACTGGTGATGAACCCATCCAAATGACCTGATAATGGAAAGGTTCTCAGATCTGAACTGCTCAGCAATTTAAGAAGTTATTAATAAACAGTTTTGTTATTTAAACTTTGTTGTTAAATATTATGAAATATAATTGACATATCACATGTAAGAAATTATATATCTATGAATTATACTTCCTTGTTCACTAACAAGTACAAGCTTGTTATCATTATACCAAATTTTTATAAGACAAACTTTGTGAAATTTACTACAAATAACAAAGCTTATATTAATCTAAATATGGTTTGTGGTGGTTGGTTTCTAATACTTCACTTTGATAATTAAGTCATTTCTGCTTTTAACCTCAACTGTGGCAAATTTGTAATTCATTTCCTGTTGTAAAACACATGGGCGAGTTACAATGTCGAGTTGAATGTACTTAAGTTGAGTTAAGTGGCTTTCAGTTGGTTCCACTCTTGTCCACCAGAGGTCTCCACAGTTGTGTGATCACACTGATAAAGAGCTTCGTGGGTTACCAAAAATCATCTCTTATCATGAGTGAAAGGATCTTTTTCATGCGGTAAATGGCATAGTGCTCCTGGTTTTACTTCCGAAGGAAGATGTGTTACAGATTTTTATTACCTTTAAAATTCTGTTGACCTCAGCTAAGTTTGAACCTGCAAACTTTGGGTCTAATGGTGAGTGTTACCGATAGATAATAATAGATGATAAAACAATTGAAGAAAAGCTATCCCTGTAACAGCCCATAGAGGCCTATAACTTTGTGATACCTCGAGATTCCCATGTTTTGTTGACAGCTGGCTCACAGATGGTGGTGAGGTTGTTAGCCTTACGTGCTGTCTGCCCTTTACCCCCAGGAAGATTCCTGGTACTCATTTCTGGTAGAGGCTGAGTTGCCCAAGGGCCATAGTGCGGCTGGAAGGATTAGACCAATTAGAAAATCCAATGACAACTGAAGAAATAGGAACAAGAAAATTCCAGTTTACAAATTGACAATAACTTAATTTGGAAAGCACACTAATATGTTCTACCAGTGCCTGTGTACTTTAAGTTGACTTGCTTTGCTGTGAAGACAGTCACATCACTCATGGAAATGGCATTCAGCACACAGCCTTGCATCCTCTGATTTTAATATCTGTTTCCTGTAATCCACATATCTATGCCTGTCCTTATTACACGTTATTAATATTGCACATTTTTTTAAAACTTAATTCTGTTTTTGATGCTGTGGATTATTTATTATTTCCATTTTATTACATAGGTATGTACATGACCTTGCATTAAGACAATTTCAAACCCTACTCTGTCAGCCATCTTGAGTCCATACTGCATACAAGTAATAGCTACCAAGTTGAACTAATCTGCATTACAATTATTGTGCAACAGTATTACTTGTATATCATTCTCTGGAACAAGTAAACACTAACCAGTTAAAAAAAAAGTTGAAAACAAATGATCAGTCTAATGGAAATACTTAATAGTAAAACCAAATGTTGAAAGTTATTTTTCAAAAAACAAAACACCTGAAAGAGTGAAACAACAATAATATTACACAAAGTATCTTTGTTCAGTATTAATATAAAATCTATAAGATATAAAAATATACTAGTGGAGTGAGTTTTCAACACAGTAATATGCCACTCTGTTCCATAGCTATTTCATTTTTGTTTTGGAAATTTGTGTAGAAATGGATTAGATAGCACCACCATTCTGTAAATAATGGCTGTCATAATGTCTTTAGATTTGGTGCACTCAAATTAAAAGAGACAGTGTACAGTTCTCTTGCAGAATTCTCATACATTTGTTTCTGCCCAAAACATGTCCTATATGAAATGGAAAATTGCCTTAACTGAAAGATGTCTTTGGTCTTAACAAAAAAGAAAGATATTTAGAATAAAGTCACTTCTGAGCAGTGGTTGCTGCATAATGTGAAAATTGAAAGGAGAGATAACTGTAGGAAATAATGTGTGAAATGTAAAACATCTGCTTTAATTTGGAGGGGTGAATCCATAAAGTAAACTTATCAAGTCAAAATAGTGTCATTTTGGAAAGTAGTGGCACACTTTCCTCCTTTTCACTGGAAGCTTCCTTTATACAGAAAGTGGGTGTATTGTTAGAGCCCCAAGAAGTATAGATTTTGGGAGCAGTGTTGATTAGGGATTTCCTGTCACTGTAAGCATAGTCTGTATTACCTGAATATCATCTGCACATATGTCATATCAGATATACAATCTTAAAGTCTGTATTACCTGAATATCATCTGCACATATGTCATATCAGATATACAATCTTAAAGTCTGTATTACCTGAATATCATCTGCACATATGTCATATCAGATATACAATCTTAAAGTCTGTATTACCTGAATATCATCTGCACATATGTCATATCAGATATACTTTCTTACATATGTAGTATAAATGAGATAATACTGTGACTGAAAACAATTGATATTGGGATTTCTATGCATACATACATTTTCAGCACTCCTGATAATGAAAAAGTTGCTTTTGCTTTGCTGTATGGATTTGGACTTCACTAGGGCCTGAACAGGTGGATAGATTTTATTCATATATGGCATTCAAGAGTGTAACCAACTTAGGTCTGTATATGGTGAATCTGAACTCTCCAGCTCCAAAAATAGGGGCTCTTCAGATGGGCCCCAAAATGCAAAATAATAGTTTTCTTGAAAATGGCTTTGACATTTTTGGGTAATTTATGGAGATGTCCCTAAATATAACTGTATGGGTGGTATATTTAGGAACATAATGGTATATGCACTAGGGGCCAAATGTGAAGTGTAAATTTTTTTGAAACTGACATTACTGGGCAGGCCCATTTTGTTGTGATTCGGTATTCAGCAGTTGGCAGTGCTCTGAGAAGCAGCAAAACAATACTCTTTCCAAGGTAACATAGTCAAGATCATATGTGAGAAAGTATATGCAGTCTTTGCACTGATTTTGCTTTTCATTTTCATGTTGATGCCACTGTATAAAATTGTAATATGAGTAATTGTAATAAAATGAGCAGTGGTGCCATCTAGACGATTCTACGCAGGTGTGCCACTACAGGGTGTGTGTTGATGCCAGGCAGTGAATTGATGCAAATTAAAATACTCATTTATTTAGATAATTTGAGCATGAAGGGTTTTATGTGAACTTTGTACAAAGTGCTTAAAAAGTTGCTGTTAATGTTGAAGTCAAATTTGGTCCTTTGTGGGGGGGGGGGTTACATTAAAATGGCAATTTTGTTTGTATTTACCCAAAAGAATACCTATTTTGTATAAAGCTCAAATCAAACTTCATATATTTTAGACAAACATGGCTCATTTTATAAAAAGAAAATGGTGCACAGCCTAAATTACAGATCCCATTAATATTTAAAATGTGAAATCAGATGTTCTCACAGGTGGTGACTATGAAGATTACCACCTTTTGAGAAGTAACACCATTTATTAAGGTAAGTCGGGTAGGTCGTGTGTGGTGTGGCCATATTTGAAGCACAATTCTGATCAAGTCAGACATTAGAATTTTCCCTTCAAATTGTCATAATCATTGTTTTTGTATATACAGTAAAACTTGGTTATAGCAACATCGGTTTCTGCGACACCTTGTCTATTGCGTCAAATATTCAATGGTACGAACTAATTCCTCATAAAGCAACTGTTTTTATACCTTGCTTAGTACGACATGCACAAATGCATCAACCTCGTATGTAACGTCATTTTCATTCCTGAATTTCTCTGATATCGTGGGAAAGTTCGATGTGTCTGCCCACCCTCACTTTCTCTACTTGCTGACATGACTGTCCTGGAAGAATACAACCGCGGGCTGCAAGAGGAGCATGGGTTTTAAGCGAAAACAAGGGTGTGGGGTGGGACTGCGTGAATAGTGCAAGAGGAGGCGGCAGGTTGTTAACGTAATTTAGAAAGTGTGTATTGGGCAAGTAACAGGAAACAGACGAAGATAACTGATTACTGTACTCGTATCTAGGTACAGTAAGGCACAACAATTGATGTAATCTACTGTAATTTGGTGAGTAGGCCTACCTTTAATATACAGTACAGTATTAATGCGGTGTGTATTGTCAGTGAAAAGCGCTGTAATGTGTCTTTGATATTACACATTTGGGCAATTCCACGTTAATGTTACGTTAGTCTGTACTTAACTACGTATTTCACTAAAAAATGCAACATTTTAACTCGGTTTTTGGTAGATTTTTATGTGACTAACATAAGGCTACTGTGGAAGTGCCCATTTCGGTTACGACATTCGTTTACAACGACACTATTTTTAGGTCCCTTTGATGACGTTATAACCAAGTTCTACTGTAGTTCGAATAAGAAGGAGCCTCAAGGTATTTTCATGGCAATCCATTTTGAATTTAATTTCAGCAATAATTCTTGGTTTTAAATATTAAATACAATTCCCGCTTAATGTTAATCTCTCTGGGTTTCCCCTCATTTCGTGTTCAATTTCTATGATCCAAGCCCAGTTTTCTCAGGGATAAAATATCTTGTATTTAAGATTTCCGTTCTTCAGAGCTTTGAAAATGATGTTGAATAATCTGGTATAGGTTTACTGATCATTTAGAGGAACTTAGTGTCTCTCTTCAGGGTAGAAGAGTCCCCGAAGGGAAGCGTAGCACAATCCTCCGAAACATCTGTCAGAATACATTCATCACATTTCAGAAGACAGCAGTCATCTATCACCACTACAAGAACTTCAATTTCAAATCACTGTTACACAGAGAAACATGGTTGGGAATAATAATGTTCATAATTATCTTTTCTACAGTCACTGTTCTTCAATTTTTATCTATTTTGTTGCTCACCCTCTTACCATCTTCCATATGGCAGTAAAGTAAAATATACTTCAGTATCTCATGGCACATAAAATTATGTATTTTGTAGTGTTATACACACATACATATACGTGATATATGTATATATATATATATATGTACATGTGCATATATAAAGTATGTTTAATTTGTTCTTCCTGCTTCATTACAATTCTCATTTAACAACACAAAACTTCTTCTGATGTTTGTTAAAAGTCACAGAAAAAATGTAACACCAACATCTTTGAAAGAGAGAGCAAATGGCAAGAGTCACAGGCAAATAAAATATTATGATTAAAAATGATTATCACGTAAGGAATGTCAATTACAGTAATATGTCAATATACAAAGAGAATGTATTCTTGGCCTTCATAACTTAACATTTTCCACCATAAAAACTTTATGAATTTACTTATCGTTCCTATTGCAAACAAAACATGTTTTCTTGAATAATGTTTCATCCTCAATAAATTACATTATCATCATCATCATCATCATCATCACCACCACAACCACCATCCTGCACTGTTACATATTCAAGTTTACCTTGGTTCCAAATTTGTCCTTTTGTTTTGGGAACTGCTTAGAGTTCCTACTCAGTATATTAAGGGACTTGCATATGTTTAATTCCCACTTTTTAACTAAAAATTGTCCTGTTGCTAAATACATCTTGGTTGCTAATGTTATTTTTGAGGATGTTGATGTATTTAAAACCAAATGATAGAGTGTCATGGAAAAATTCTATAAAGCCAAGAGATGTTCCGCCTGGAGAGAATCCTGGGCAAACTTAATTTGCCACTGCAAGCATAGGCTCAAGTGCAAACTGAGTTATTTCTCCTATTACTTCCTTCAGAAGAAAGGCAATGGGGTCACGACCACAAATCCAAAGAATCCTTTACCATTGCTTGATATGGAAGAGGGAGAACGGCAATAAGATGAACTCGTGGGAAGGAAGGGAATACAGGAGAAAAGATGGAAGAACAGACATGGAGGAATTGTTGTAACTGGAAGGAGAGGTAGGAAGGCAATGATCATAGGATGGGCAAGAGATGAAAAAGAAATACAAGAGAAAGAAGGGAAGGAGATAAAAATATGAAAGAGACATAGGAATGGAAGACAGAAATGATTATCCCCTGTCATATTTGATGGGTAGTATAAGTAACTACAAAAATTGCAGTGCAGAATTTTCTGCACAGGAATGCTACCTGTTGATGATCCTGTACAGTGAAGTTTTTGTTTTATGATAGCAGAAGAGATGTTGAACTAGTTGTGAGGAGAGATCAGATATCCAATGATGATTAAGATTGAAGCTGTTCCTTCTCAATTGGTGAAGAGGAATATTGATTTTAGAAGATGTTTTGAAGTGTGGTCTGTTTAGCCTTCTGCTTTCAACTAAGAATGACACAGCTGATGTCATTTGTATGATCCCTCTTGTTGGCATGTTTACCTGCTGTCTGTTACGTGACTAAATGAAATTAATCATTTCATTTGTTAAGACAGTCCATTATTTTATGACATGGATGCCACTCAAATTTTTAATGAATTAACAGTATAACTGTATATTGCAAAATGGCATATGTATTTACCTTTTTGTGTAAAATATTGGTAATGAGTCCAAAGTTTACTGTACTGAAACTTTGTATGCTGAGATATTACTGCAATATAAAAATACTGAGGCAGGAGAAGTTCACCCAGGAACTGCAAGCACAAGTCAGTGAGATGATAAAACGGTATGAGCACGATCCATACCGCTGCTACTGCAGTTAATGAATTATTGTTAAATTTGTAGAAATCATTCAAATTCAAAAGTTGCAGCACACCAGCTGAGAAACAGCTGTAACCCATTTCCTATATTCCTTTTTCTACAATACTTGACATTTTACCATGACTTTTTTAGTTTTAATTTGACAGTCACCATCTCCAATAATTTTGTTTTATTGAAGTGATTTTATGTGAGAAAGAAGCTGGCTCAAACTGACATTTGATAACTTGTGTTAATACAGAACATGGGCTTGGAGTTTCCAAAACTGTGATTAGTAAATGAAATTTTAGCTATCAATGTGGAGTAATTATAAAAACCTCTTACATTTAAAAGTTGTGTACTTTAAATGTAATAAAAAATTTAAATCACCTAACTTCAGTTACAAATAACAACACATCACAATAATACTACTTATCCCATTGCTTTAAAATATTCCAAATTGGAAAATTATAAATGTATTTTTTTTTTTGTAATATTAGTTATTTATAGTTGACAGTGTTGGCACATAGAGAATTCATTTTTATACCAAAATAAACAATTTGCATTGATAGTGTACTGCACTGCACTGCACAGCTTCACTTCTCTCAACCATGTCTCACATATGAGTGTCTACAGTTGCACACAGGTCCACAATGCGTTCACATCTCTTCATAATTCATTTCACACACATGCACAGTTCTCACACATCAGAGCATTTCTGTGATTCCATGCAGAACCTCACTTGAAACCCATATTTATTTTCATTTAGTTCCACACAATAATATATCCATGATTACTGTGGTTTTATTTTGAAGAGATATCAAATAGTATGTAAGTAATCATTTCAGCTGTCTTTTTAACACTAAGTCATGAGCTATCATTGCCTTAAAAATAATACTTGTAAACATCTGTGATAGTATATCTTCATTCTTCAAGAAAATGAACACACTATGTTCTGCAGGGATATATGTATTTCATGAAGAATCCATTCATATCCATTTTGTCCAAATAACATACAGCATAAAAATAAAATGGAGGTAACATAAACCATCCTTATTTGATTGGAAATATACCAAGCCATCAGAGTAAATCTGAGCTGCCAGTTTTGTACCATGTCAGAGCATAGGCTTTTGGGCAGTCAAATTTGAGGTAATATGTACAATTTATTGACTATGATACATGGGTGCTTAACTCAGTTCTCATAAGGGCATTACTATTTTACTTAAAGAAGGAAGTTTCACAAATAAGAAATTAAATTTATATGATTAACCGTTATCATTGGGAATATGGGATTTTAAATGTCTTGTTAGGTCTAGGCTGGCAACCAGGATGATGTTAGTTTTGAAAAAAGTTCAGCACTTGGCCAGTTAGTCCACAAACGTGTTCTGATATAATAGTGAATCCATAGCCAAATTTGTCTGTAAGTTTCTGACATCTTTTGGAAGTAATCTGAACTATAAGTCAGTGTGTGTTCTAGAAACAAGTACTGCAGTACCATCTATTTTCAACAATAACATCATGGTATCCTTGAAACATATGCAATTTCTTCTATGTGAAGGTATTTTAGAATCCCCTAAAGGAACACAACTTGGAAGCCAGTTTTAGGGATAATCTTATAATTTTTGGATCCTGTTATGTTTTATATTACACTCTCAGGAAAACTGTATCTTACCTTTTTATGCATTCATCAACTGCCACAAAAGATGTGTTGATGGTTCCACAAAACGCTAAAATGTAATTTTACTGATAGTTTATGGACAATGATAGTGAATCAAAATATTTATAGGTAACATGTGAAACAGTGGATGAAGTGATTCAGCAGATGGGAAATTACCACAGCACTTAACTGATGTAGCAAAGAGGTTAACATGCATCAGTCATGACAGGTTGAAGGTAATGAATACATCAGAGTTGTCAGCAGTGCTCAGTTAGTGTCAGTTCACTCCACAGCTTGGTTCCATATTATGCACGTTTGCTGCTATATATTGACTCCAACTGGTTTCAGTTCCAGAAACTGGAATGGAACATGAAGACTAACGTTGTTGTGTTCCACCACTAGGTGGCCACGGCGCTGTGATGCACCAACCACAAGAACTGTCTCACCCTTAAGCAGAACCACCTCTCCACTTGCATCTTCTGCAATTATAAAGAGCGAATATGTGAAGAGAAAAATATGCATTTATGACATGATTGTGTGCTGCATGGGACAGAGTCATTGACATAGTGCTAGTTACTTTGCTGGGCTACATAATATGCAGATTTATTTATCAGGGAAGTGAGAATCAGTGGAAAAGACCAGCAGGACACAAAATAGTTCTAGATGTTATCACTTTGTAAACAGAAAGCTATGGAACAGATCCAAAAACAATGCAAAATAACAATTTATAAAATATATTTTAAACCAATACAAACATAATGCTGAAACATGGACAGTTACAAAGGGAGATGAAAATCCAAAGAAGGGATATGAAATTTGTGATAAGTACTGAAAAGAAACAAGATTAGGTAAGGAGTTGTAGTTCAAAATATGGGAACAGAGTTAGAAGAGGACCAACTGAGTAAGACTTTGCAAAAGAAGTAATGAGTATGTCGGGTCAACAAGGCTGAATGTATGCATGAAGTGAAAAGGAAGAAGATAAATGATTACATTGTTCTGGGCATATGAAAAGAATGTATACAAGAAGGATGCCAAGAAGATCATTAGAATTAAAATTTGAAGATTCAGCTGGGTGCTGAGAGACATTAAGAGAAACAGGAGCTGAAAAGAAAGGAAGGGTTGTGATAAGAGAATAAATTTGGAGACTTCTGTCAGTCAAGTGATATAAAACACAAATTATGCAAGAAGGATGGTAAGAAGAACATTCTTATTTCCCTATTCCATCATTTTGTCCGCTTCTTTGTTACTTTGTTTCTCACAATAAAATATCTTGTCACATCACTCTCAAACACCCAATGTTTATCATATTTGAGGTTTTGAGTATGAAAATTGCTGCCATCTGTCTCCATCTTCAGAGTAGAAGATTTGCCCTTCTGCCCTGAAGAGATGCAGTAAGTTCCTCTGAATTGTCCATAAATATATACCAGACTGCACAATGTCACATTGCACAAGATGACAATATTCACTTTCAGTCTGTGTTCTTCCATCATAATGAAAGACACTCCCATTTTAAACAGTAGGAAAAATTATAATTCTGGGTTTATAGGTAGAGTATGGAAAGGCAAAATTTTAAACTGAATGACAGCAAGCATATCCTGAACTTAATCTGTTTCCAGTTGCTAGGCTGACTGAGCTATCCTGGCTCATAGAAGTAAATATAAATAATCGTTTGTATTGACATTTAAGGAAGAAAACAGCAATATCAACCGATAAAAGAAACATAATATATAAATGTTTTGTATTTTTAATGCCTCAAAACATAATTTTGATCTTGTATATGTTATATTGGTGGTTCCTGTCTGAAAGTTTAACAACAATTGATTTCTGTACAAAGAGAGATTTGAGTGAGCTCACCTGGGAAAGGCATTTTCATGACCCTGGTTTGAGGGTAACCCAGCTTGGTGTTGCCTGTTACAGTGTAGGGGCGGCTTGGAGGCACTGGTGGTGGACGTTCCTGAAAGTCAAAATTTTTTAGGTGAGACCCACAAATATCTAAGCATCAGTTCACCAAAGTTACTTGATACACAATATTTAACACTGTTTCCATTGGTATTTGGAAATAACTGATATGAAGAATGTGACAGACATTTTTAATTTCAGTAACTTATGTGGAGGCCAAGTGGCCTCCGTAGTCTAGCAGTAATGCGGGTTCAAACCCGGTGGAGGTTGTGGAATTTTTAAGGGTGGAAAAATTCAGGGAACAAGTCCTCCGGGAGGGACTTTAAGCCGTGTGTCCCGTGTCGTAGATTTACGGCACGTAAAAGATGCTCATGTCTCTAGGAGACGTCTGAGTAAAATTATGCAAAGTTTCCCGCCCAAGTAGTTTCCAATTCCTCTGGTAGATGAGGAAGTATTGGGGACCACGGCCAGAGAGGGCCGACCTCGCTGACAGTGAGCACCAATACTGGAAGGGCATGGCGACTACTTAGAATAATTAAAGGGAGACGCACAATAGATCAACAAATGGTTGCAGTGCATGGGAAAACCCACCCCCTCCAAATAATAATAATAATAATAATAATAATAATAACAACAACAACAACAGTAATAATAATAATAATAATAATATGTGGGGGCCATCCCACAGCTGAGGCAGTTAGGTACTTGCTTCCCACCACAGACTGTCAGGTTCAATCCTGGACGGCTTCATGTGAGACATGTGGTGGAGAAAGTGCAACTGTGGCAGGTGTTTCCCTCTGCTAACAATCATTCCACCATTGTTCCATACTTATCTCTGTCCTCTTGATATATGCAATAGCCCTAATAATCAGACAGTACATTATCATATTTTCAACTTTAGGTCTGGGGCTCCGTCTTGGCTGGTCACAGGGTAAGGAATTTAGTTTCAGTTAGTAGCATTGATATAGGGAGAAAGTGCAAAAAGTTGTATCTGAAACATCTTAATTTTACCTGACCTGATGCTTTTAGTCTGAATGGTTGTCACTTATTCAGCTATGTGCATCTGGATTCTGTGGAAATGATAAATTGACAAATACTGGCCTGCTTAGACTAATGATTTTAAGGTCAGACTTTCTGTTCTGCCATGTCTTTCATACCAAATCCAATCCAAAGAGTGTGCATGTTTGCTGAATCATTTTGTGGTCACATTTTTCTGCTGGATCTGGAGGGGGCGTGCCAGCAATGGGCTGTGGGCGTGGCCGAGTGGAAGATGTTCCTGCTGTGGCTGCCCCAGTAGTACCGGTGCCTGTCCCGTGTGCTGCTGCTGCTGCCGCTGCCGCTGCCGCTGCCCGGGCCTGCTGCACGGAAACGACTGCTACACTTGTGTTGGCAACACTGGGTAGAGTTCCAGTAGCTGACACTGTTGTTTGTTGCTGTAGTTCCAGGCTGCGGCGTAGTGTTGGCCATCGTCGCCTCAAGCGCCATCCTCGCCATGTTGCTTGTATCAGTATGGCTGCTCTATGTCGAGTTCCACTACGCAGCGTCTCCAGTTGTTGACGAGCTCCTTCACTGTGTCAGGAAGTGACATGAGGTATTACATATATTGCTTGAGTTTGTTTATCAGGCCATAGCTACTGGCCAAGCTGATCTGATGCTTAGGCTGAAAGCAGTAGAAATCTAAACATTTTTTAGAATTTTCATGTACCTGAGGAAGATATGTCGCTTCCCAAGAGCCCAGCTGTTGCTGACAGCACACTGTCGCAGTTTAGGCTGTTCTTCCATGGCCTGCTGCAGGCACTGCAGTATGAGGTGGCAGTCATCCATAGCCTTGTCATCGGCACGGCGCAGTTTCCTGAATGGAGCCAACAAGCGGTAGCGCAAGTTGAATGCCTTGAAGCGCATCCGATGAGGGTAACCTGTTTATCAAATGCATGGAGGGTCACTTGCAAAGAGTAGATGTTTGCTTGCTCCTCAATTATACCTCTCAGAATACTGCAAACAGGCAAAACAGGATTGGCCCCATATTTTATGGTAAACAGATGAAGAACCCCAGAAAGTGTATGCATAATTTTGTGCAAAACTTCTTCCCAGTTTGGTGAGCTACCTGTCAGTGTAATGTCAGGTGTTCTTGGGAACTGTAATAGTGTACTGTTATTCATAGTCCTCAGTGATGCTGTATAAGGTTTGCAATACACAGTAAAGCAAAGCACAATCTTGGTAAAATATGAAGTAGTGATGTAAATTTAGTTTGGCAACTCTGCTTAATTTATAATTTCAGCATTGTGTTGTGTATAAGTAAAATTCTTCCAATAACCATCTACACAACAATTGATGAATAATATCAATAACATCTATTTTGAATTGTTTCATTTTTGGTTCGTTACACTATCAATTATTTATATAATAATATATAAAAACCTAATGTAATACAATATCTTTGCAGCCATACTACATCAAGCTGACATCTCCCATCTTCGGGATGAATCAACAAGAAGGAGCCTAACATTTTATATGAAATGTTTTAAATTTTTAAATTTTTGAATATTTTAACATTGACATTTTTAACTTGAGGGAAGTTTCGGATGGGATGTGAGAATTGTTAGTGCTTTCAACAATCCTAGCAAGTGTTGTGTTTTTACACGTCGATATACTGTAGCAGCGTCAATGCAGCAAACATAACTGTGTACATTTTAACAACGACAGTGTTGTCATGATTGTACTATGTGCCTCTGATGATGGTTATATTAAACCGAAACATGTAAGGCAGAAGTGATAAAGAAGTGACCTACAAATTGTTACACTGGACGGACTTTCTATTAACTTTGCAATAACATCTATATTCATCAATTATTGTCTTCGTGGTTGTTGGAACAACTCTGCTTCAACTTTGAATGTATAGTAGGTGAAAGAGTAAAATCCTTGGATTCTGACAAGGGTTTTACTCCCATATGTGGAATCTCAGCTGATTTGCTCAGTAAAAGATGATAGAATTGGTAGAGTAATAGTATTGTGCAGAATGATGGCTCCTCTGTGTTGTTCTGGAGCTTACAAATGTCACTGAATGTTTGTTGGCTCTTTGTCTATGTAAATACAGAATTAAACCACAGAGATGTATTAACATACCTCCAGCCATGAGGTTGACAGTTTCTAAAACTTGTAGGGAACGAATCTGCCGCATGACAGTTGCACGATCGAAGCGTCCAGGTGTCTCACTGGCATTGCTACGGAGACAGCGGACAAAATGAGGGCGTGCATGGACCAGCGTTCTCAGCAAGTTGTCCAGTCTTGTGTGGAAGTCTTGTGTGAGCGTGGACACTGGTTCATCACCATTCAGCCTGAAACAGTATTTGAGCTGTTATCTGGAAATGGATTCTTTCCTCATAAACTTGTTATTGTAAGTAATGTATTGTTAGTCTTATTATGCTATCTTTCCACATTCATAGAGTGACTGATTTCAGTGAGATACCTCTGGACACACCATCCACAGAAATTTTCATCAACTTTGCTGTAACCTGTATCAAAATTTGAATGCTGCATTTGTGCAACAGACATGGGACTTAAAGTAGGTAGAGGTTTAGTTAGAAAAATGAATGAAAATGGATTAATTTGAAAGATTTTTAAATCTGTTGGCCTTGCCTTGTAGAACAGTTTCATATAATACTTGGCTGGACCAAAGACCAGATTATAGGACTTCCATTTTCTTGCTTAGTACATAATATCAGATTTTCCTCAGATATGTTATATTTTTATCAGGTGCTGATTTTCCAGAAGTAATCCCAGCCTCAGTATATTTTCTTGTACTAAAAGACCTCAATCGAAATGGCTTAAACATGGCAATACACAAAAGTTTTATTGAAATCTGTTAAGACTTAAGTTATGTGAATATATCTAGACACAGGCATACAAACATGGCAATACCACAAGTTTTATTGAAATCTGTTAAGACTGAAGTTATGTGAAGATATCCAGACACAGGCATACAAACATGGCAATACCACAAGTGTATTTTCCTGTTCCAAATCGGGCCATATCAGAACAACTTACAGATCTGTGTGAGAAGTGGGGGATATTCTGAAGCTGACTCCTCGAGGAACAGTCTCGACTGAATAAAGTGCTTTCAGTTCGCTGCCAAACAAGTGCGTTGCAAAACCAAAATTGCAGCTGTGTTTGTGAAACACAGCTACCAGATCGTCTGGTACTACATCTTTGTTTGTGTCTGTAAATAATTAAATGAAAAGTATGAAAAATATTAATGTACACAGCACTAAATATTAACATAAGGTAATTACATATCATCTGTGGAGAAATGCTATTAATCTGTATGGCAGTTAAAGGTTAAGGTATTATGAAATCCAAGTTTACCTGCATTTTAAGGAATATTTCTTCTTATTACAGCTGAGACCCAGTATAAACAGTATACTCCTCTATCTAGTGAGTCAGCTCTTAGCACAAGAAATTTTCAACCTTCCAGAACCTGTACCTCAGTATAGTGTGATTTTGTTAAGAACAACAGTTGATATGTACATTTTCTCTCTACTGGAAATTCTTAGTAGACTACCATATTACGTATTTAGTGAGTGCTCAATTGATTGAGCTCCATGACAGGAAGAAGTAGAAAGCAAGTGGAGATACAAGTCCATGCTTTCTCAGTTTCAAATTAGATGGAAGTGAATGGTCAGCTTCATACCCCAACTGCCTTATCCCTGGAAAAATAACCTGTGTTACCCTTTGGATAAGGGGCTGGGTGGGCCTCTGGGAACAGTGGGGAGGAGAAAACTCTCTTGCCTCTGCCAGGAATCAAATCCTGATTCCTTGGCTTCCAACCTGTAGCCCCTTACCATACTAAGTGAGCTTTCATAGATCCACATTTGCTGTGTAAATTGTTCAGATTCAGTGAGATAGAAGTAACTTGGGATCTGCTTACCCAGAAAGTCAGATGCATCATAAACAACCCGTCCAGCAAAATGCTGGATACCGAATGTACGAGGCTCCAGTGTTTTGGGTTCAAAGAGCCGTGGATTCTGCTTGTGTTGGACTTTGACTTTGGCAATGTATGACTCAGCTGTGCCACGAATGGAGCACTCCACGTCAAGCATACTCAGCAGACCTGTGCGCTGTAAACCAAAATTAGTCATTTGCTACTTCATCTTCATATTAGTCTGAGTGAATTGCAAGTGCATCAGTTGAATAGGATTATAAATATTTGGCAGTGGAATCCTGAAAGTGTCCTCACTACCCATATACTCATTCAGATGCATAAATCTGTAATAAGAATCCTTTAAATTTCTCTCATTCCATTCTGTCTTTCAGTCTGATCTGGCTGCTGTGAGACCATGCAACATATGTATTTAGAAGACTTATCACCATGAAGGACCATGGTGATAAATAACAGAAAAAAAAGTGTAATTCCTGTCAATTTATCTCAAAATATGGCTTAACATAATGTATATCATCACATACCAGAGAGGAGATGAGGTCAATACAGGGCACGTTGTCCACGTAATCCACTTCTACCTCACAGTGAATTCCTTCGTCTCGACATGACTCAATGCTTGACTTGAAAATATGTGTGTTGTAGAAATGCTGCATTGTCTCAGCACAGAGGTTGATGCAGAGGTGCTCCAACTGACTGGGCTGTAACATGAAGGTGAGACATGAGACAATGGCAAGTTATCTGCTGTGCCAGTGCAACACGATCCTCGCAGTGTGTTCTGGATGTCAAACAGAATTATACTGGCCACCTCTTTATGAAGACTCCTGAACAGTTTTAAGTGATATTTGGCATAAGAAATGGGTGGTCACTGGAAACAGAGGGGCACTATAGGGTTGGTTTGTATTGGTACCACACTGGTACATGTAGGGGGGTACACGTGATGAATAACGGGTTCTAGATCAGATGATTGGATTTATTGGCGCTACGGTTACAATCTGTCTTAATTACAAGCAATACAGCGCTATTGATGATTTACACAATTTACAGTTCACTGTTGCACACGCACTAGAATTCTCAGTGTTCACTAGCCTTCTCTTGGCAACGGAATTAAAATGGTCTCACTGTTACTAAATCTTCTAATCATACACTAAGACTTCACAAGCCAACTTCTAGTTCTTGTTCCACTACGAACTTCCCGTGGCTTTTTGTATTCTCCTATATCCTCTTGACACACACCACACATAGAAGACAGCCCCTCTATTGTTGCATGCGTGTCTGTTGGGGTTCCCATGTGATTGCTATTTAGCCAGTCCATTGGTGTGCTGGCTGCTTCCTAGCAATAGGGAACACTCTTTCTATGGTTGTGTGCATGTTGGTTGTGGGGATCGAGCTGTTGCCTAACAATGCTTTGAGCAAATCCATGACAATATAAACTATATTTATAGTTTATTGAAAGTATGGTCAGCCTTTCATACTATAGACCTATAGCATTGAATGATGAGGCAATAATGAATTGGAAATTATATGGAAGGAAGTGGTTGTGATTTAATTTCAGATACTGTCCTGGCATTTGTGTGGAGGGAGTGAGGAAACCTAAGAAAAACCTCAGTCAGAATAGGTGGTCTCAGGGCCACTATTTTAACCTGAATACAAAATATGATTATTATAACATTCAGTGCATGTTACGTTAAACATACTTATTGAAGTTATTTTTTATTTCTTACTGGAAACCATCACAACACAGCATCAATAGCACTTGTAAGCAGCTCTAGGAGATAACTTTGCTACATGTTTCAGCCTTCTGTAAGGCCATCATCAAACCAATACATTAAACCTTTCGTTATTGAATTGCATGTTAAATATAAGTCACAGTGCTAAACTTCCAAGTATACAATGTTATAAAATGATATGCATGAATACAAATATAAATTACAATAAACGTTAAAATCTTAATTGATCAGTTACATAGTCAAAATTATAGTTAAAAATTGTATATGCGATGGTACTTGGAAGTTGGTAGTTGCAATCATAATACATGTAATACTTATACAGACATATTATATACAAGGGGGGGCCCAAAAATAACCGGAACCGACCTGTTGCGCAGGCATGCTTTGTAGTTACGAGTTGTGCTGCTAGGTGGTGTTAGCTGGGGGTCTCCCGCGACTGTTAGTGAGCTGGCGTCAGTCAGAGTTAAGTGGTTTGTCTGTGGTGCTCTGTTGTGTGCGTTCCTGTTTCAACCCTTTGGCAATTAGTGAGATGGCCGACCAGAAGGAACAAAGAGTGTGCGTGAAATTTTGCTTTCTGTTAGGGAAAACTGCAGCCGAGACTGTTGGGATGCTTCGGCAAGCCTTTAATGATAATGCTTTGGGGAAATCACAGGTCTACGAGTGGTTTTCCCGTTTCAAATCTGGCAACATGTCAACAGAAGACATGCCACGCCCCGGGCGTCCTTCGACAGGAAGAAATGATGAAAACATTGCCAAAATCAAATGTGCAATTGATGAAGATTGTCAAAAGACCATTCACCAACTTTCTGAGGAAACGAACATCTCATGGAGCACGGTCCAGCGAACACTCTTTGTTCCTTCTGGTCGGCCATCTCACTAATCGCCAAAGGGTTGAAACAGGAACGCACACAACAGAGCACCACAGACAAACCACTTAACTCAGACTGACGCCAGCTCACTAACAGTCGCGGGAGACCCCCAGCTAACACCACCTAGCAGCACAACTCGTAACTACAAAGCATGCGCGCACAACAGGTCGGTTCCGGTTATTTTTCGGTCCCCCTTCATACACAATAGCTGATATGGTGTTTGGAGGCCTGTTGTTATGTTATATGTTACTGCTTAATATTTGATACTATTTGATGGCCTGCTCCATTGTGTAAATGTCCAGTTTGTTGGAGAGATAGATTACAACTCCTTTCTTACTGAAAACGGTCACAACACATCAGTAAAAAGAAATACTCATTGAAGATAAGGATTTTGAGGTAACAAAATTTAAAACTGAAACATGTGAACTCACTTTAGGGTCCTCGAAACCAAACATATCAAGGATACCAATGAAACCATCTGTAGCATGGCGTACAGCATTGTTGAGGGCTGCCATGGACTTGCTTGACTTGGAACCAGCTGTCCCAACAGTGGAAGCATGCTGACTGGCAATCTGCAACATGCAGGCAGTAGAAACAAGGTATAAGTCACTTGACTAATCAAGCTGGGAGCATTTATGTCACTGAAATGTGATGTGTTGTAAGTCTTTGTTAAAAGAAGCCTCTTTAATTTCAGAGAAACTTACTGTCTCCATTTCCAAGAAGTAACAAAAGTAACAAAAAGTTTATGCAGGAAATGAGCAAGGAGTCATGTGTTTTGATTGGTCATGAAAGAAGGGAACATGGAATGCGTTCCTTACTGAATGCAGAGCAAATAAAAATGACTCTATTCACGTTTCAATCTGGAATCACAAGTTTTGTTTGTTCATGAAGGTACAGTGGAATATCTTCTGGCCTGAATGTAGAACATGGAAACAGTTATTCTGCATTCTGAAATCTGTATTAAATGAGTCCGTGGGAGGAGTGTTAATATTTACGCTAATTTGTGGTTTTCACTAAATGGGGGTTATGCAAAATTACATGTACAGGTAGAAACTGTTCATCTTCCTGTAAGACTTGCTATATGTATTTATCATAAAATAAATTCTTTACATATGTAATTAATTAAATCATTCCTACCCAAAGTTGGTAAATTTGTCCCTATGCATAACTAATCAAACACTACACCATGAAGACGTATGGGAGAGTGGATGTATACCCACATTTTCTTGACCTTGGCACTAGTTGGAGGTGAGTGGTCAGCTTCACGCCCCGGCCGGTTTACCCCCCGGGGAAAGAGCCCCAAGTACCCATTGGATAGGAGGTTGGGTGGACCCCAGATCCAGTCTGGACAATGTGGAGAAGAGAAAATTCTTGCCCCTACTGTGACTCTTCTGACCCCTTGGGTCATCCAGTCAGTAGCCAGTCACTATACCGACTACACTATCCTGGCTCCTAATTATTTCTACCCAAGTGATTATAATTACATGATTCAGTTATTCAGTATAGAGGGGGTGCGTTTCCCCATGCACCGCGACTTAGTCTATTGTATGCCCCCCTTTAATTTCTACTGTCTCCATACCCTACTGATACTGGTGCCCGCTATCTCCCCTTTCTGCCAGCGAGGTCGGCCCTCTACTGGCAGTGGTACCCGATAACTCTCCCCTTTCTGCCAGCGAGGTCGGCCCTCTACTGGCATTGGTACCCGATAACTTCCCCATCTACCTGTTGGCATTGGAAACTACTTGGGTGGGAAACATTTTGCCTAATTTTGCTCAGAGGTCTAATTACATGATTACTAATACCAATGTTGATTAGTTTTTATAGTCTAATGTGCAACAGTATATTCTATAAAATGTATTAAAAGTGATAAATTTCTTCCAGTACTGGTATCAGGGCCTTTACTTCATATAATGTATTGTAAGCAACTTTGACTCACCTCAGCCTGGTTGTGGACAGACTCATTAGAATCAGAACTCAGTGTCCCAAGCGTGGACCCAAGACGCTTGAGACTGTTTGCCCTGCGGACAATCGTAGCCACAGTTCGACAATAGAGTGCTTTAGCTAGAGAATCACGAGTCATATTTGACTGGAACATAAGAACAAAGGATTTCAAAAGAATTTTAGCTATAACATGTGAGCTATGTCAAGACTAGTCAGAACAGTAACTTTATCCATCAGACATCTGAATGCACATCCCACACTAGAAAGACTCTCACTAGTCTGGGCCTACTATAACACATACTTTGTATAATGACAGTACCATATTTCAGTACATTTTTCAGAAAGACAGCTCTGATAATGAAATAGGTACATGACATAAACTGTATCAGGTGATGTGAAAAATTACATTTTTATAAAAAATAGAGATCAAATGACTTGGCAGACATGAAAGAAACTTGTGTAAGTCCTGCAGAACATACCTCTGTGTAGAATATGATCTAGACTGTGATCTATGATGTGACACCACATTTCTACCCTGAAGATTGAGGCGGCAGGTTACTCAGAAATACTTGCAATCACCTACATGACTACAGAGTGTGTCAACCCATGAGATCACAATCTAAATCATAATGTTTGAAATACATTCTATATTGTGGCGTATTTACTCCATGCAAGAACTGTTGAGCCACAGAAAGAGCCATTGCTAAGTAATACACGCATGCAACAATAGCACATTGCGGTTATGCAACCCGTTTCTAGGCAACGGATTGGTGCACACATTTCTGCATCCGCGGTGATGTCACACAACAGTGGGTAGCTATCACATGATGTGTGTTTTCTGTGCATGGTCTGTGCAAAGTGGTTATAAGAAGAGTTCGGCAGGACAGTAGCAGTAGTAGTAGTAGATGGAGTTAAGTTGAGTTCCGAGGTTCCAGGGTGATTGAACAAGGAATGTCAAGAAGACTTCATAGTGATTCAAAGTACTAGTTTCTGTGTAGAGAGCCTTTGCCAGGAGACGACAAGGGAAGACTGAGAATACCTAGTGTGTGTGCAACAGTGAACTGTAAAGTGTGTAAATCAGTGATAGTGCTGTATTGATTGCAATTAAAAGAGATTGTAACCGAAGCACCAATAAATCCAATCATCTGATCTAGAACACATTATACATCATGCATACCCTTCCTACACGTGAAAGTATGTTCTCTTAATTACAGCTCACCATATTAGCATCACAGATGGATTTGACAAGTTGACCCCGTGCATTGTGTGTACGTGAAGTGAGGCCACGGAAGAGAGCAACTCCAGACACTCCAAGCAGGCTTGCCACTGCTTTAAGTTCTGTATCACCCTTCACATCCACTTCAAGAGCCTGTCCATCCACAAACTGCACATTGCCAAGCAGCAAAACAGCTGCCAGTACACGCACAACATCAAGGAATGGGATACCTAGCACACCTGAATATAAGACAGACATTAACCAATGGGATGAGATATCTAGCACACCTGAAAGTAACAGAGGTATTTGCTATTGTGAATGCAATATCCAGAATATTTTAATGTAATATGAGTGTTAGTAATGTGTAACAGGACATTCAGTCAAAGTTTTTGTCCAAGGTTACCTGCACATCATTCACTACTGTAACAAACATCAAAAACAGTAGTTGGGACCTGCAATGCAGTTGTACTTCTATTAAATGGAGAGAGCTGTGGTACTGTCACTCTGTTTATCTACGTATGTTAGCATTTTTCCTGCAAAGCCCATCACTGGACAGGTTGAATTTGCTGTGTGTCAGTACTAATCCTGTCAAATGACATACTGTTGCCACTGTGTATGAAAATGATACATCTCCCTCAATTGCAAGGACATTTTAAGTGCAGCGTGTCAAATCTTGAACAAGCCAAAGAGTTGAAATCTACAGTGATTATTAACTGACTGTCACTCACTTTCTTCCATCACAAACGCAGTAACTTCAAAGTCCAGCATTCGCTAAAAAATGGCTGCCCCCCTGCGGAGGCTTGGCAGTGAATTTATTAACTGTACTGTAAAACCTCATAATCATGGACTAACTAATAGGTGGGGCAGGTTCTCTGTTATCACTCATGTCCATTGTGACCAGGTTAAGGGGTATTCACAGAAGTACACTCTAGGATACATAGCCAATACACACAATGAACATACACATATTGTGATTACATAAAGGTTTTTATATTGTTCTTTTTTTTATTTTGAATTCTTTTCTGACTGTAAAACGTTCTTAGTGTCTCAACATTTCTAAAAATCACAAATGTACACAGCCAGATTTGATCCATTATACCTTGGTCTGTTGTAATGAGAGTTTACTGTATTTCTAGTTGCATACCTAAGCATGCTTTCCATGCCTGGAACCTAGCTGCATCTTCTGCCTCATCTTGTCGAGTGTCTCCACATTGTAAGTAACGCAGATTGTGTGGGGAATAGCCTTCCAGACTCAGCTTTGCTGTAACATATGGGCAGTTCACATTCATTTCTGATATCTATGCACACTGCCCTCACTAAAGAAATTCATGGTTATTTAGATAAGGAAATACTGATTTTTAGAATTCTGAAACTCTTAACAACTCATGTAGATTCTAATGAGTTCTGACAATGGTGCATGACACTTGGGATGACTGGGTTTTTGGACTTTGCCCATCCTCAATTTTTCTAAAGAACAAAACATTTTGGTAACAGATCCATTTTCTGAAATGTTGTGTTCTTTAATCTTCTTTAGAATAATGGATGATGGATGAAATTCGAAAACCCAGTATAATCGCAAGTTCAAGAACTCATGTTTGAGACTATTAAAAACTTTTAATATATCTATATTTGGAAGAGGAGCTGAATAATTTTTTAAAGATCCGAGCATAGCCTTATTGCAAGGATCCCTTGTCACCATGTCTTGACACATGCTAGGTTTTGGACCGAGGAAATAGCTGCAAGATAAGAAAAGTGGCTGTGAATATGATGAGTAAGCAGTTGCAGGCAGCTGACAAAAGGGTGGGCCAACAGCGTGGGGATTGTGCAGGAGGTAACAACTCTTTCCACAAAAAATCGGCCTCTGATAGATCCCTTGGGATGACCTAAGCAGTGAATAATTGCCACGAATAGTTAGTTAGTTAGCTATTGAAGAGGGTGGGTTTCTCCATGCACTGAGACCTGTATTGGTCCATTGTGCTTCCCTCTATGATGTCTATCAGTCTCTATATCCTACCGGTACTGGTGCTTACCATCAGTCCTGCCCAGCCAGCGAGACCGGCTCTACTAGCTGAGAGGTATCTATAATGCTTCCCCCATCTACCAGAGGTATTAGAGACTGCTGTTGGGCGGGAAACGTCCGTTAATTTGGCTCAGTGACCTCCTTTGGAGATATGAGGTTCTTTTACGTGCCGTAAAGCTACGACATGGGACCCACGGCTTAAAGTCCCTCCCGGAGGACTTGTTCCCTGAATTTTTCCGCCCTTAAAAATTCGACGACCTCCGCTAGGTATTTGAACCCGCGTACTACGAGTCATGAGGTGGAAATGTTACCTCTAGACTATGGAGGCCGCTTTGCCATGAATAAGTAGGATGGGAGAGTGTACACTGGATACTTCTGGCTCAGGATAGACATCAGTAATGGGCTCTTGTGAACATGGTAGCAAATCTTTGGGTTCCATAACATGCTGTGAATTTCTTTAGTAGCTGAGCAACTGTTATCTTCTCAAGACGGGATTGGCTCCATGGCATTATTAGCTGTTGTAATGTGAGCATGATTAAAAAACTAAAAAGTTTTGTAAATTGGTGTATTACTTCTGAACACCCTTCAGCTTACCTCGCTCTTCTTGTGTGAGCCCAGCCAGCATCTGGTAGAAAATGTGGTAGTTTTTTTCATTGGGGAGTGGCCTAATAACTCGTGTTTGATCCAAGAAGTAACAGTGAATCTTGGTCCTGTAGAGCGCTCCATCTGTCACCTGCACCTCAATGAAGTGTCCCTCAACAAGCAAACATATCACAGCATTGAAAGCTCAGATTATGCTGATATAAGCATGAAATTGATGGAAAAATGCAGAGGATACTTTTTTTTCTCTTCCTCCCTCTTTCATGTTTAATGCTATGTCTTAAAAAAATTTCTTTTGTATAAATTTTATTTTGTTACTGCATTAATGCTATGTCTTAAAAAAATTTCTTTTGTATAAATTTTATTTTGTTACTGCAATGTACAGAGAAGATTGTTGATCCCTGTTTAGAAGAAATGTTTGATTATATGCCAGAGCAGAATTACTGCCTTACACCTTCTGTATTTTTGAGTTACTTATGCGTATGTATGCTTACTATTCGACTAGATTCAGAGTTTGACACTGTCTTGGCAGATCCGAGGGAACGGAGAACTGTGAATGCAGCAGCAAGATGTTTGAAGGCATCAGTTTCTGGGCCACCACCTGCCACGTCAAATAACTGACGTAACAGAAGCATGGATGCATATGTCTTGCCTGATCCACTTGTCCCTGTAATAAGTGTGAAGATGTATAACCTTTTCCAATTTCTGTTAGAGTGCTATTACAAACATTCAGAAGTCTTTTGAACAAATTAATGGTCCTACAAAAGTTATATTATTCATCAGCTGAAGCATTAATTTAAAAAAATATTTTTACTGAATATTCAAGTGATTTAGTTTCAGAAGATGCTAATTCTAAGAAGATATATTTTTTCTAGGAAATAGTTAGATCGTGAAAATCACAAACCATGGCCCTCTAGATTTCTGGCTTAGCATCTATGGGTGATTTGTATGGAGTTGCTGTGAAGTTTATGTCTACGTCTCATCATAGCTTACTTAAACATGGTGATATGAAAAATCAAATTTGTGATATTCAGCATCTGTAAGGGTAAGAAATATTTTTTGTCTACTCTTTCCATTGATACTGTTGTAACTCTTGTAGAACTAGTAATTCAGTTTACTAAATGTTAAAATGATTTTTTAAATGTATATACTTCGGTTATAATAGCCTGTATCCATACTGTTTTCCAAATTACTTTCTTGTAATTTTGCATTCCTCATCACTTGATGCTTTGTTGCTGCAGATGCATATCTGCTGCTAATATTTAATCAACAATACAGACATTACACTTCATGCAGTCAAAAATTCAGAAGTTCACAGTCATTGAGCATTACAGTGATGATGGTTTGAAGCTTAGCATACAGATTCAGTATTCAGAAGCTTTTAGGTTAGTTTAATATTGCTGCCACTAATAATGAAAAAAAAAAAACAGTAAACAAATTTTATCTTGATGACCGGCAAACAGGAATAGAACAAACTTTCAAAATGTCATAATGTATTAAATGAGCCACACACAATGCCCACCACAGCAGCATTACAGGAAACAAAAATAAGGTTGTAATTTGTGCATATGAGTGTGGGCTGTGACCATCCTGGCCTTAGCCTGCCTGCCGGGGGAAAGCAGGAGGTGCACACAGTCACTAGTAGTTGTGTTATCATACCTGAGAGTATTATGGCTTGTGGGTACCCTGTCTCTGATTGCTGTCTCACTGCTTCCTGTACAACCCTGAGCAGTTTAGGGCTTAGCACAACACCTCGTGTACTTGTCAGAGTCAGTGGGTTGCCCACATCGCTGTATGGGTTCACTGACAGCAAGATGGGGCCTACGTTTGTCTGGAAACAAACAGTTCAATTTTATTTACCAGTCATCATATCTCAGAACCAAATAAAATATACATATTACAAATATATGAATGGATGTTTGATTTTAATAATAGATTTCATGGGTGCTGGAACATGCACAATGCACAATTTAAGTAAAATCAAATTTTGGATTAATAGTAATGCGCCCTAAGTTTCATTGATTGTTAGGTATGAGGTACTGTAGAAATGTTGATAAAGGCAACTAGCTAGTACTGTCATTGTTTAAGAACGTACTTAGACTAGGAACTGGGCCTTGCCATAGCTCAAGCGGTTAGTCGCTGGCTTCCCACCGTGGTGGCCCGGGTTTGAGCCTGGGTCTGGTCAAGTGGGATTTGTGGTGGACAAAGTGGTGCTGGGGCAGGTTTTCTCTGAGTACTTTGGTTTCCCCTGCCAATCTTCATTCCACCAATTGCTCCACAGTCACCCTCTCCTATCATCTGGGACTGATACAATAGGCCAGGAGTGGCAGCAGTACAAGGGACTTAGTCCCACCCCACTAGCAATAAAAAAAATAGACTAGGAATTACTATCAAGACTTTTCTATATTGCATTTTAGAATAAGGAAAGGAGCATATACATTTTTGGTAATAAAATTATTTTTGTTCTTATTCAAATAGGGGTGTAAACAGTGACTGAACATACTTTAAGATATGGCAAGATAGATAAGAATTGCATTATTAGTGACTAATTTTGGCACAACATCCTAAATTCTGATTGACATTCTCAAGGTATATAGACATCCATTACACCTTTGTGGTATGGTCCTCGCCCAAGTTAATGCTGTTTGTTAGGCAGGGTCTCTGGTTCCTTCTGTGAATAAAAATGTGAACACTGTCCTTTTCATAGATTTTGGTATATTATATTTACTATTGACTTATTTAGTATGTCAGGTTTCATGTTATGAACACATATGAGTACACACGTCTTCAAAAGTATTCATCATAAAATTATGATTCATGCATCACTTGATTTAAATATTATGCATATTATTCTGTTCAATTGAGTTTTTTCTAAAATGATCAGATCTGAGAGCAAAGAAGATTCTTTCCTCAACTTAAATAGGGTGAGAAACTTTATGGATCCTGAAGTATTTTACAAAGTTTCAAATTTAAGAGTAACAGATTCATGATGTGGTATATCAATCATATAAATTAATGTAACATTATTTACTGAAGTATTGGTCTTTCCTCTGAGAGTGATAAAGCTCCTGGAAGTAACCTTTTTCCTTTCTATTACCTTCATGTTTGAGTTTTTGACTTATCTGGCTTCCACTCGCTTAGAAAAATCAGAGAAACTCATGCTTGAGTTGGGTATTTATGAAGATTTAGATTGACTGTGAGGTGAATATGAACTTAAATCATGATGGGAGGCCAAATGTTCCCTACATTATAACGTTTCTGAGACAAAAAGAACGCGTGTAGAAAATTACCCATGTGCCCAGTCTTAAAACCTAGACGTTTTAACACTGGAATTTGCAGGTTATATGTATAATATGATTTGTTTTTGCAAAGAAGTCATAAATAACAAAATCCTTGCCACCATATTCGCTTCTCTATTAGGTTTTGAATTTCTGCTGGAGAAGCGCAATGTTACCACACAAAGCCAGAACAGGTATGTTTAAAATTATTGTTAATTATTGGTTCTGTTATATGTTTCTCTTTCATATTCAGATGTTTTCAAGATCCTTTAGACCAATACAGTCAGGAAACAAATATAAGTGAGAGCTTACTTCGTACTGCTATCCATAGAGGATAAATCTGTGTTGTTAGAGAGAACGAGGTTAAGTAAAAAATTTATCGTTAAGTACATCATGATATTCTCCTTATTACAAGAATAAAGTGGGAGCTGAGTTATATCACTAAAACAGTACTTTCCATTGATGATTTAATGAAATACTGGGTGGAGTATGCTACTGCATGACAGTCTAAAGTTATTTCTTCTGATAGGTGACATTTACTGACTGAGAACTCTTTTCATTAGCACTACAATAAGGTAGGATCAAACATGTAATATATGGAATGTAAATTGCAATTTCCATGTGTTTCCTGTTGAATGTAGAGGACTGGAAATATGGTGTGAGGATGAGTGCAACATTTTAATAACCTTAAAATATGATATGGTAGGATTTCTGTAACCTTTGTCATGTCTCTAGTGACACTGAATACAAGGGATCATAACCTCATCTATTGTTCAGATGGCCACATCATTATCTTTCTATTGTGATTTCTTTGTACATGTACTACAGTTACTTTGAATTTCAAGTGCTCTAGAGATAAATTGGTTCTTTCATGTGATATGACCATAAGAACTTATAAAACAAAAACATGTGGGTAAAATGCCACTGTCTTATATATTTATAAGAATGGAAGTCATGGCATTGTTGCCAGAATATATGTCAGCCACTTTGCATAAGTTAGCATATGTCTGAACATGCATAGTATCAAATTTGTGAATGGTCACAGATGGCGGTAAGAGCAGTAAACCTATTTCATTGAGTTCATTGAGGTTCATTGTGTGAGAGGGATGCAGATTGTTATAATATCTTAGCCAGAGAGAGATGTGTAAGAACAAGATGGAAGCAAAACGAAGTGAATATGAATGGTATAAAGTGTGATGAAGAATTCACGACAGGAATATAAAAGTTGTGGAAATAATGATAACATGGCAGCACTTTGCAGGTAAGGTTATATTTGGTAAAATTATTTTAATATAGAATACTGTAGAACGATGGTTACAATCAGTATTAACTCTTCATACTCATAATACCAGTAATATTAAGTTCGTGCTCAACCTCAAAAACGTATGTGAGGGAGTTTGTTGAACGATCACGGCTTAGGTTGTATTCTTGCGCGGAGCTTATAGCTCATGAAACCGGTCCATAGGCGATTCGTGCAAGAATGAACCAAAATCTGGCCTGCTTCTAAAGAAACAAGTGAATTTATGTGTTCTTGCGGGCACCAAAATATCTTCCCTCGAAAAAATGACTGGTAGAAATTAAAACAGAGTTTATTTACTCGTACATTCCACTGATCTTTCGTATAACTAAACCAAGGATGTAGGGCATGTCATGTACATACTCAGTATTAATACAGACCTGAGTATATTACATGTTGGTTGTTACAGCTATTTAAAGCCATCTTATATTATATGGATATTATACAGAACAAAATAATTACGGCCCAAGAGTAAAATATCAGTTTTACAGGAATTAAAATGTTCATAGTGTGCAGATTATTGTTAGACTGGTACCGGCAACTGACACGGCACTCTTCTCGCATAGGCACGCCACGGTAACCGATAATTCACAGCTCGATTTTCCGCTGTAGTTTCCCTTATTTTTATTGAATATCTCGAAGTGAGAGCCTCGGCATCTAAGCATGCTGTGCTTAAATTCACATCATGTGAATGTGTTTCTAGACAGACGTCGAGGCTGTTATATAGGAATAGGGGAAATTTCATGCGTAACTTTTGCCTAAGTTCTTTCATGGAGTTCGGATTATCCACAGAAATTTATTTCAAGCGTGCGCCACAAACGAAGGTAGGGTGATCGCAGAGGCTACAGTGCTCGGCTTACTACTCGTTCACCGAAGGCTTAACTTAATGCAGTGTTTCTCAACCGCCGGGCCGCGGCCCGGTACTGGGCCCTGGCTTCGATTATACCGAGACGCGGTCTGACAAGGGTTGAGAACCACTGATCTAATGCGTCCATAGAATTGTTTGGGGTCTATGTTGTTGCGTTATCTAGCATAAAATGCCCGAAACAATTTTTCTTTATTAATCAGTTGACCGAAGAAGAATGACGGAAGCAATCTCACATAACGTTTGGAATTATTTTTTCGTAGGCCGCGCACTAATTTCGCACCAAAACCCAAATTTAAAATCATTCAATGGAACTCCATCAACTGCATGAGGATTTTCTGTGCTCAAATACCTGTTACTTTGGATGTTTATATTGTGACGTGACGCCCCAAAGCCGAGTAGTTAGTTGAGAATGGACGTCCATTGCTAGGCAACGACTCAGTAAACACATACCCGCGGCAACTAATATGAAATCGACAATGGATTAACTTCCATTGATAGGCAACGGCGCCTTAAACATGCCTGGCCAACAATAGAGAGACTGTTTTCTGCGAGATCCGTGCAAAGCGGTTATAAATAAGATTTAAGTTGAGGCCGTTCAGTGAACTGAGGAGTCGAGTTTCTAGACGCCAGCCTGCCAGGTTATGAGCTCGGGAGCAGAGGAATTAAATTGAGTCGAGTCTTCGGAATTGGCAGTTGCAGAGTAATGGCAGGAAAAGAATTAGGCTGTGCAAAGAAGACTTCGTGTGTGATTTAAGTTACAGTGAGACGGTTATAAATCCGTTGCCATGATACGACTAATGAAGGCTGAGAATCCTAATGCGTGTGTAACTGTGAACTGTAAAGTGTGTAGATCAGCGCTAGCGCTGTAATTGCCTGTAGTTCTGAGTGGTGTGTATAAGGTGTCAATAAAGCCCGTCAACCAATCCAAAACCTGTCTGTAAGTTATACGCACACCCCCTACCCACGACAATATAATCTCTTAAAAGTGACCCACACCTCTTGAGAATAAACTGAAGTTCTGGGTAAATAAGCCCGATTCCTGAAACCACCTACGGTACTGAATTCTTGGTTCGCAGCGTAAGGACAAAAGGTTATGTACGACACCCCCTTAAGTCCATAAATTAGGAACTATGTACCAACGTGAGTTGCACTTCTTGCCCAATTACAACGAAGAGCCAAAAGACATAAAGACTTCTTGGGGGTGCTTCTGATAGAGTATCGATGTAAATTTTTTTGGTCAGTACATGCCATCTCTAGGAGCTAGGATAGCGTAGTCGGTATAACGACTGGCTAGGGGCTGGACGACTGAGGGGTCGGAGTTCGAGTCCCGGTTGGGTCAAGAATTTTCTCTTTTCCAAGTCGTCCAGACCGGCTCTGGGGTCCACCCA